AATCAGTTGGTCACTTTCTGAGAGTTTCATTAAAATCTGTCCACTTGTTTGTGAGATATTTTGCTAACAGACCAACGAACCTCCTCCTAACAAGTCCTCTGTGAGCCTCACTATAGTTTTTACAGAAATAATTAATCTGTTTACCGTTTTTGTCCAGATGAGACAATATACTTGTTCATTTTTGTTTAGAAAAATACTGCGAGTTAAAATTTCTTCTCTTCTGTAATCTTGTAACACTTTTTATTTCAAGCAAAAATAAACTTTGGTCACATTTCACTCGTCTCCTGATTTAATTAAGTAACTGAAGGAAATTTTGTAACTGATTAATTGAATGTTAGATGCAGTTTTGTATTTTAAACTTTCTGATCATTAAGTTAACGCAGACCAATAGTTGGTGTGTCTTATCATGTGATGTGAGTATCAGTCACCTGTGAACGATAGCCATGTGATGTGAGTATCAGTCACCTGTGAACGATAGCCATGTGATGTGAGTATCAGTCACCTGGAGGCAGGACTCAAAAGCCTGAATTTTGCCTGAAACTCTCAGACTGAAGAAGTCTCTTGGAAGAGAGACGAAACGTTTCATTAAAGAAGAACCCGTCCAGAAGACCTATACAATTTTTTTTCCTTTGATTTTTTACCTGGATTACTGAGATGCATCAGGAGACTTATCATGTGTTCTTTCTTTAATCTAAACAAAACTGAGTTACGTTCTGATAAAAAGTAACACCTCCAGAGGTGTAACCAGCAAAAGATGAACTAAGCTCATTTCTTTATTATAGTAAGAAGAAGTTGTCAGTGTTGCAGAGTCTCTGCTCAGAGCAGGTTCCTGTGTTTTTTGTTTTGTTTTCAGCACAAGGTGAGGCCTGGGTGCTGTACTGTGAACCTGATTGGAGTCACAAGAGTGAAAATAAAGTTTTAAAAAAAGAAATCCAGCAGATTCCTGTTTATTCGGACATACCATTTTGAACAACGCATATTTTCCTACATAATTACCTAAACATTGCTGTTGTTTTCTCTTTATAGTGATTTTATGTCACTTTTTAAGTGTTTTTTTTTCTTTTTTTGCCAAATACAAGTTAACTCAAATGTCAAAATTAAAAAAAGCAAGTACAAAAAACATCTGCAAGTCCGAACTAAATTTGGAAGATAAACTTTTAATTACGTTTCATAATAAACTATGCATGAAATACATGAAATGTTGTGGCTTTAAGAAGAGTAATGTGATGTTGAGCTCGAGAATTAGCTCGTTGCTCGTGTTGTTGATTGTCTTCCTCTTTGCATCAGTTTGATCTTCGGCAGTGCTAAACCCAAGTTGTCAGTGTCGCATGGCTGCCAAGTGTTCAGGCACTGTAAAATTAGAGAACAATGAACCTCTTGCACATCTACAAAGAGTCTGGTTTTACATTGTCAGAAGTGTCAGGTGCAGAAACTGCTTCCTGTCTTATTTCAAACTCGCTTTGATGGCACACTGGCATTAATTTGGCACATTTCTGAGCTGAAACTGTTTCGTCATGCTTAAAAAGAAAAAAGGCACTTTCTGGCAATCGACCCAGCTTCAAACAGATTTTTTTTTTTTTTTTGCAACACAAACTAAAACCTAGATAGACACTTTCAAAAGTATGGGAAAATTTGAAGTACAGTTTAAAAAACGGGGGGATAATAACTTTTTTTTAAGTGAGCCAGATTATACAGGGTTGTTTTCGAGAGATGGAGGTAGGATACGTTCAGCAGTTGGCATCGCCACATGAGTTGCTTGGTTGAGAAAATAATGCTACATTTTTCGCATTTGTGTAATTTTTCAAGAACCAAGCTAGAAAATCAGCTGGAATGTTGGAATTCTGAATCAGAATCCTGACGAGCACCAGCCTCAACATCCAATATGGCCGACTTTTGCATGAAAAGCTGTGATAGCTGCAGTGTGCAACTTTTTACTGTAAGTTTTGTCAGTTTGCATCTCAGTAATCCAGTCAGACACGTGTGTGTGCTTATGTGTGTGTGTGTGAATAAGTGAACTGGATATAATAAAGACCTAAGAATCCTCAATGGAATTCTCTTTGATTCTAATCAAGCAGCGGTTGCATCAGTCATCAAAACATTTTCAATATGTTCTAATCTGCCCGAGCATTTATGAGCAGAAACAAGCTGGCAGGCCCCTCGGGTCAGAACAATATGTTAACCACATGTTAGAACTTCCTAAAATAAAAAAAGAAAAAAAATTCACTTCATTAAACAAGACGGGGGAGACACTTTTTCCCACCGCCATCAGCACTGTCTAAAACCATCACGAGAAACCATTTCTGCTAACGAACAGCGACTCTGCCCTGCACACATTTCTCAATGCCATGGTGGAGCGGCTCTTCTTGAATTTGAAACGTGTCCCGTGTGTCGCTGCGCATTTCAAAGTAAAGCCTGTTTTTATCACAACTGGCTTTGAGCGGAACTCGAACCAGATGGAAGGAAATTGAAGATAAAGGCAGCTGGAGTGGATGTGAAAGCAGAACTTTTTTTTTTTTGCTAATATGGGGGACAACAACGGTATTATTACATGTCTACTGGAATGCTTTTAAAGTTTAAAAAGTATTTATTTTCTCAAATATTTCCTCATATTATGTTTAACAAATCTAATAAGATTGAAATATGAGGTTTATCGTTTTGGTGCAAAAGTTCAGAATCTCTCCAGATGTTATGTTAAACTTAAAGGGCTGGTTCAGATGTTTTGAAGCAAAGCTTTGTGAAAAGGTTATGGACAATCAATATCTTACCTGTTGTATAGTACACTCCTACTGTTAAATAGGGGAGTTTTTTCTTTCCACTGTCGCCAATGTCCTGCTCAAGATGGGAGACTGTTGAAGTGAAGATTCAGATCAGAGGTTGTCTGAGTTACATGAGTTGAAGCTTGGGGCCCAAAATAAATTTCAATAAACTATTAATTATAGCATTTCATTTAAAAAAGTGCAAACTACAAAACTGGGACCAATATGCCAGTAACGTAAACATAATTAACCAAAAAATACAATTAAAAACAATTTCCATGGCATTTAGGGGTTCAAATGTCAGTAAGTTATTTTTAATCATCACAAGGTTTTACGGAGTCGCTGGAAATTCTTCTCCCCAGGGTTCCCAGAACCAAAAGAAGCCCTACCTTAGATAAATAACCTTAACTGATTTACATTTTATAGAGTATGTGAATATTTTTAGTACAGTGCTAACATAGGCAGTAAGTAAACTTCCTTTCTGTAGCACATTTTACAGACAGAAACACTGCACTGCTTCAAAGAGATCAAAATAATTATAAACAATAAAACTGCACAAATAGTCATGAACTGAAAAAAAACACGACTTATGGATTGTCAGTATACATAAAAAACCTGAGTTGATATGAACTGAATTATTTTTTTACACAATAAGTTATTACAGGAGAATAAGACACAATTTTCAGTGAATTTAAAACATTCCACACATTAGACTATTTGTTTTTATTATACTAATGAGGGTTGAGTTCATTTATTAGGCACAGCTTTAATTAAGTTCATACAGTAGTAGTATTGACATTATAGCTAGCTTAACATTCATGTATATTTATTACACTTGCACATTGTGCACATTTGTGGAAATGACCTAACTTGAGTTAATTGCATACCCCGAATTGTGACTGAGTTTCTTTGTAATTTTACTGCACAGTGTCTTATTTCTATTTTTATTACCCTGTACTGTATTTTATTTTATTTTTTGCATAGCAAAATATTATTGTGAATTGAAGTATCTGCTGCTGCTGTCACACTTGAATTTCCTCTCTTCGGGACAATAAAGGCCTTTTCTTCCAATTCTATTTTGGCCTTACAGTAGTTCAGCATCACAGCCGAACAGTTTCTGAACTCTGTAAAGTTAAAGGTTTTGGTAAAAGTTGTTTGTTGTGTAGTTCCAGCTGTAAGAAATTATTACACCTGCTCCAAAAAAGGGCACCAAAATACACACTGAATTAAAGAATAATAAAAATAAAACTACAATTTCCACATCAGCCATTTAAAAAACAAACGGGGCGACTGGAGGAGGAAAAAGGTCAAACTGTTTTTAGAACAGAACAAGTTCTTCTCGTACCTGCCCGTGTGCTGAGAAGCAGCACACCTTTTAAAAGGAGGAAAAAGGTTTCAAAGCAAAAATCTAATTATCGGGCAAACGAGCTGAAAATTGACCCAGAACTAAAACAAACTGTGCATGCTGCGACCGAGGTGAGATCAGGGTTTGGATCCACGCAGTAACAGACACTCGCATTATTAGTCACAGATCACACAGATCGCTTTCAGAGTTAAAAGGACAACGAAAATCATAACGCAATCTCCAAATCATTCAATCTGATATTGTCTAGGAAAAAAGAAAAGCCCTTCTTTTGAAGTTGCACTGAGGTCCCAGCCTAAATAACATTTAAGACTTGAACAAGATCTTGTAAAACATATAAAAGACTTGTTGTTGGCAGGTCTCTTTATTACATTTACTTAGGCAGGGGTATTTCTTACAGCACATCTTGGTTTGAATTTAACCCTCTCCGTACCAGTTCTCCTGCATCTGGGCACCAGCTGTGGCTCTTTGTGTACACAGTAAGTGTGTCTGAGTCTGATTGGGGTCACTGGTCGGCCTGATTCATTGAACAAACAGCTGATTGACCAGCTGGGAGGTCAGGAAATCTCAGGCAGTGCTTAGAAAATTGGATAAATGTATTTTTTTTTTTAAAGAGTGGCTCATCTAGATGACAAAAACCAGAAGAAGCGGTCACGATGACATAAAAACATCTGGACGCACTGTCAAACACAAACCGTGTCACAGCAACATCCAAGAAAGATGACATCTCATCAGCTTGTCCCTGAAATCAATTCAGTGCCGTCACTTAAAATTTAGTAGAATTGTTTAACAATATGTTGTGAATTTAAAACCTCTTTGTTGTGTTTAATGTGGGGGAACAACTGCAAAGATTAGAGGAAAAAAAAAAAGTAAACACATTGTTCTTTGCTAAAAATGGTTTATTGGACAAGGAAGATTACAAAAGGATTGATCCCTTGGTAACCCTCAATCATCTCATTATACAACCAAACTTTCAAAAAAAGAAATGACCACGTGGAAAATATTAGTAACCAAAGTATGGAAATAAAAAAAAGGATGAAAGTGTAATCCTAGTAAGTTCAACTGAAGGCAACAATGTTTTTAACATTTTACTTCTCATTTGAGGAGTTTTCTTAAGCTTCCAACCATTCAAACTTTGATGAATTTTGTATTTTTCAGTTTGAATTGAGAGGAAAATGTTTTCAGAAACCAAAAAAGAAGTCCAGTTGCATTTGATTGAATTTATTAGGATAACCCTCTAATCTGATAAGAGCAACAAAATAACAAAATATCCTGGCTTCACAACTAAAGACACAAAATGGTTAAAATGGCAGACATTGCAATGTTAGGACTTTATAAATAGACTTTAAAAATAAGTTTTCCAGGTAATTTAAGAAAGTCAGAGTTAAATTCCGTAACTATTTCTCACCTGCTAAAGCATTTCAGTGTAACAGTACATCAGGTTGGGCAAACAGCACGTGCGTACATCCCGTTTCTAACAAGACATAGTGTGAAATAATTTAGTGAAATCCAAGGCACTCGACTTTTACTACAAACAACAGTACACACCAAGTGTTAAAGAACCGTACACACAATCCAGAAAACAGCTCATTTGGGGTTCAGATGTGCAGGTGCAATTTTTATTTTCTCCCCAATTTGGACATAAATACTCAGCTTTCACTCTCAAAATACTGCTCAACAGTACTTAAAGTTATGGGTCAATATAAGTCTTATTGTTTTAGATTTGTATGCTTTACTTTAACAATCAGTAACCAGTATTTACACTTAAAATTTGTGAGAACCACAAACGTGTGCTTTGTATAAAAAGTAATTTGATCATTTTTGAGGTTAGTTTACTGACATTGACTACACTATGACAGAGTAAATATAGTTAAATAAAAGGACATATTGCTAAAAGACAAACGTGATGAGACTAAAAGCTACTGAGGCCAGTTTCCTGATCGACAGTTCAGCTTTGAAAAAAACAACAACATAAAAAGCCAAAGTAAGTTTTAGGTAAAAGTGAGTGGTCCCCACATTTCTCACGTCATGACAGAACCACCGGATTCCCGAGAGGGTTCTGTTTAATCTGAGACTCCACCTTCAGGCCTTCTCCAGAGACTTATAGTACTCCTTCAGAACCGCCCAGGCTTTTGGAGCCATGAAGCCGTCAGGGGGGTTCTGTCCCTCACGAGCCATCTTACGCATGCGTGTGCCTGAGATGAAATCATAATCTTGATGGCTGCAAAAAAAGGGAAAAAAGAAAAAGGAAAGAGAACCATGAGACTTATATCAATCTTTTTTCTAATTGCATTTCCTATTTGTTTTTCCCTCTTTTCCTATTTCCTCTTTACTTAAAAAAATCACTGGTGATGAAGAAATTAAGAAACTAATATTAAGATTGTTTTTACTGAAGTGATAAAAAAGAAAAATTAAAAAAATAATAAAAAAAATTAAAAAGAGACATATCAATCTACATGGAAATGTTTATCCACCGCACGGCCTATCCGATCTGACAGAGGCAGCTGCTGCTTGTAGAGGACTGGATCAGGAAACAGGACCAACAGAAAATACTTTTTTCTCTCATTTTATATCACTGATCCCATTTTTAATGTAGAATGAAAAGCAGCAGCTCATTCGCAGCAGCTAAGTTATCTAAATTAATGATAATTCTGTCTTTCAGAATTAAAGTAAACAACCTAAATATTTAAAAAAAAAAATTCATTTTGACACTTTTTTGTGGCGTTTTATCATTTCCTGTTTTTTGTGAACTTTGGTCAACTGCATGTTAAGTCCACCCAAAGAAGAAAAAATTTATACATATCATCCTGAGAAGCCAAGAACTGCTCTAATCTAAGCCCGATGCAAAGTAAAACCCTGAGAGAAGATTACCACATTGTTTATTTTCCTCATCTATGAATAAATGCAAACGGCCTGCTTCAAGTTCAACCCGAGGGTCAATGGTTTTGTGTGAAATAGCACATTTTATTGACTATGAAACAATAAAAAGTTGCAAATTTTAGTCGGAGGTGAGCAATCTCTGTGTAAAAGGAAACAGCTTGCCGGCTGTTATATGACCCATGATGCTTAAAAGGAAGACCGGGGGCTGTTGTGATTAGGCAGCTGATCCATATTCCTCCTGTAATCTGCTGGGGACAGGGTGTTTTAGAGAATGGAATGCCATAAATCTAACACAGACTAATACACACTTTAGAAATCCCGGAGGGGAAGATTACAGGGTGATTATGAACCACGTTTTCATTATTAATTCCTTGTTTTAGCTAATTATTTATTATAGAGAGAACAACTCCTCACTTCTTAAACTTTTTTCTTTATTTGATGTCTTTATAAAACAAATAAACTCCATTTCTTAAATCTGTGGCGTTCAAAAATATTAAACCAGTTTTTTTTTAACAGCACTAGCGCTGCTTTTCACAGAAAGAGCCAAGCAACATTATCCTTTGAATTGAAAGTTCCAATTACACATCAAGAAAAACAAAGCTAATCTTTTGATTCATCCTAACATTTCTGGCCGAACACGGGCAACAGTTACGCAACCTGTCAGAGGCGGCTTCGTCAAACTCAGGAGGAAAAGCAAAGAAATGTCAAGATTTTTCTTTGTCATCGTGAGCCGCGACTTTAATCAAGGGCAGCTCTCTAATTCTGATCAACATCAAAAGGTCATACTAATCCAAGAAACATTTTTACTCAGAAAATAGGGCGGGGAGGGGGTTATTCTTGGTTCCACGTTTCACTACAAATAGAGACAAAAAAGAAAGAGGAGAACGAGGGGGCCTTTTATAAACAAGATAAGCCTAATGAGAAATGAATTTAGAGATTGTAATTACTGTTTAGGCTACTTGGATTAATTGGGGTAAATCTGAGGTATTATTACTCCGGATTAAACCTACAAAAAAGCTTTTAAATTAAATGAGTGAGCACTTCCTGTAACCCTTTCCTGCAGTCCTACCATGATAAATAAAGACCACCAGTGTCTAAATGCTTACTACTTTTGAAAATATTCAATAAAACATGAGGTGCTTACTTCTTAGGCTCATAAAAGTCCATTGCACTTTTAACCTTGTTGTAAGCAGCAACCTTAAAGGGGACGATCTCCAGGGTGATGAGGCCTGGAGCCATGGTGAGGACTTTGGCTCCATGAGAGGGCTCGTAGAGGTCCTTTCCTGTCTCGGGGTGGGGCATACCAGCGGGATCTCGACCAACAATATAGAAATTGGCACCAGCCACCATTCGTGCTCTGCAGTGCCACTGGACCTGTGGATGGAAAAAAATTAAATAAATAAATAAATTGAACTGTGGAAGACGGGTAAAAGCGACATCATCAAAAATGCTAACGACGACATGATTTTTTGATAATTAGACGCAAGTATAAAATAAAGCAGATTCTGATATTTGATCTATTTCTGGGTTAAGAATGAATTAACATGGTTGTTATTTCAGTCTGTCCTGAGTGGACATGTGGGTCCAGAGTTAGACTCACAGACATTCCACACCTCTTCAAAAAACCCAGATCACACAACAGAGACTGCCACATATGGACACGGTTGTACCTTTGTTCAAGGTGCCAACAGACATTAATGTGTCGTAAGCATTGGCAAGTAGCATTTTAAAAAAATCATAAAATTTTAAAATATCTAAAGAGTGAAAGGTAAACCTTAAAAAAAACAAGCCATCTCCAAACCAGCAGATAAAAAAAATAAATTAGCTTTTAAGTGCTTGCATGTAAGATCAACCAGCTTCCAACAGTTTAAAAGACTTACCCTGAGCATGAAGGATTTTTTTATTATTGTTATAAATTGTTGGTAAATCTACACATTAATCCTACTGCTAATGTATTTGTCCTGATTTATTTCTATGCTTCAGATATCTGGTTATTAAAATAAACAATGTGTTGTGAATTTAAACCTCTGTGCTGTGGCTTCACTTCTAGTCTCTTAGTGTTTTGTTTATTATTATGTAAAAATGAGCACGAAGACCAGGTTTTATTATAGGGGTTGCATGCAGACCACTGAGATTGTGTAGTTGTTTTTAATGGGTAAACAAGGGGAAAACTACAATACCAAGATTGCTCTAAAACCCCCTATTCCCAGTTACAAACTGACCAAATTCACAACCCAACATACAACTGCCAGCAATGTGTTTTTAATGATTTGCACCATAGCTTTCGCATTAGCATAAGTGAATGATTAAAAGATCCCCAGCTTCACAACTACGCTCAGTCACACAGAGGTTTGTGCCTGGAATGAAAAGACTAAACAAAGCGCCTCAAGAGGGTCGTCTGTCCTCTTTCCTGTCATTTGTCACTCTCGGGGAATTTCAGCCAAAATTCTGACAGTTTCCTGCCCTGAATCAGTCATTTTTTTACAGCTGCGTCACTGATTTTTTTTATTTTTTTGTTTTGTTTTGCCACTTTTGAAGCAAACACGATGCCTGCGTTTCAAAGAAACCTTAAACATGCAGCTATAAACACCACAGCCTGGATTATCGTTACCTCTGTTGGCCCTGCGTACATCATGGGCGAGGGGAAAATGGCGACAATGGTTGAGTCTTGGTTCAGGACGCCCTCCTCCAGCACAGCAGCGTGCTGCTTCATTCTCCAGTGCAGCGGCACGTCGTCGTCTTTGGTCCAACCCCCCAATGGGTGGAGCAGCAGGACGGGCCGGCGGTAACCCCGCTCAGTCAGACGCTTGTGGGTGTCCTGCATCAGGAGAGCGTGGCCGTTATGGACTGGATTACGAAGCTGAAAGGCGAACACAGCATCTGAAACAGAGAAAGAAAAAAAAACACAAGGGGTGTGGTAAAGAAAAATAAAATCCATCATACAGTATATTTAAACAAAACAAAAACTATGTATATATTTATTGGAAAAAAACAGAATATATGTATTGCTTTAATAAAACTAAACTACACATTGAACCCAAAGATCATCCAAAGTGATCATCTACGATGCTAACCTTGGGAACCACGGTAAGTGTGACGCAAGTATTTCTTTCCTTGGCTGTTTAAACAGGCAAATCCCATTGAAACTGCAGATCTCTTTTTCAAGGGAGACCTGTGTGGTGCGGTATGAGGGCCAAAACTAAGACTACTGTGCAACCAGTGGTTGCTATACCCTTGTAGAAGGAGGCTATATCTGTCTAATTATGTAGGTGAGCTGCTTAGGAATGCTAGTCGCTAGCCTCTCTGAAGCTAACGCCAGCTTTTCCGTGCTAGTCGCTAGCCTTTCTGAAGCTAACGCCAGCTTATCCATGCTTATACATGCAGTTACTGGTGCTGGCCTGTCATCAATCAGAGCAATAGCTGGCTTAGGAATAGATTTACCGGTAGCCTTCTGCTACAAGAATTTAGAAACAGCTTGTTGTGCAATAGTCTGAATTTTGGCCATCATGCAGCGCCATACCTAGGCCTGAAGGCAACCTATTGTACATGTTTTTGGGGTGTGAGGGAAACCCGAGTACCTGGAGAAAACCCACACAAACACAAGGAGAACATGCAAACTCCACACAGAAAGACCCAAGGTTTGAACCGGGGATCGAACCCAGGACCTTCTTGCCATGAAGCATCTGTGCTAACCACTGAGCCGTTGTGCTGCCATGGGTTTTGCTCAAATAGCGTTTAAAAAAATGCATCTCCATACCAGCATTCATTTCTTTAAACTTCTGTTTGAGCTCAGTGGGTGTCAGTCGGTACTGGTCAAGACCATCATTCCAGTAGATCCTGTCCAGAACCTGCAGGTCGCCACCAACCAGCCAGTCCCCACTTTCCATCACCATCTGAAACAGAACCCAAGATTCACTTATTGTTTCTTGCTCTTTATTTGGTGCAAAGAAATTTTCAAAACGACAGCGTTTTCTGCAGCTTAGCTTAATCACAACACAAAAAATACATTTCTAAATGTTACTTAAAGATTATGGTTTATGTTCTAAACCGTCTGCTTCAGATGCCTGATAGTAGCTGATCATTTGTGATCCTTGATGGCAAAATAAGTCTCAATGAGAAATTTTTCAATAATGAGTTATTATTTCCAAATTTTCTATCTCAAAAGCTTCAAAGGGATACATAGTTTGTAGAAATGTGGTAATTTTAGGGTTCGCTTCACTACAATAACTATGACACAATCCAACTGTATTCTATATTAAAACCAGCCAATGTCCTCATGTCCACACAGGAGAGAAAACTTCCCCTTTGAGAGCTAAACAATGTCAGTAAAGTGCTCAGGATTCAGGAACTGGCTGCTTTTGTTTCAGGCAACATCTTTCATTCACCTCCTGTGGTACAGGAGGGACCGCAGCTAGAGTTACAGAAAATAACCTGCGTGATATTAATATGATGCGAGGTGACAAATCTGTAAATAAAAAATGCCACTTATTTCACCGACACGTAGTTCATCATGTGAGCACTCTTTGATATCCACACTCGTTTTGCATTGATCCAACAAACTGCATGGAAAAGCCGAGTGTTGTCATCTGCACGATGTGTTCGAAAACAAATTTGCTCCACGCTCCATTTTATTCTGCTTGTCCACTGCTGGCCTGATGCAAGCCATGAAAGACGAAACCCATGTGTGGATAAACTCAAGGAGGGAGGCTCAGTTTAAACCTTTTAAACGCTTAACAAGTTCACATGTGAAAAGAGGGTCTAGCTAAATAAACGGTGGCTGAACCAAAGCTTCCGGTGAAGGGGCCTCTGTCTGACAGACAGGTAAACAGGAAAAAGTAGATTAACTATATTTTAAGTGGAGCGGCTCGTTTGTGGCTGGGAGGAGACACGGGAACAAATGCTGTGAAGCTGTCACCGTAGAGGGCTGCTGACAGACTGGCTCTGGAGCACCGAGTGAAACATACGTTTATGTACGCATACACACACTTTAATGAGTGAGCCCTTAATCAGAGCAGGCTGGACACACACGCTGGATTAGAGCGAATCACTGCGGTGGAAACGAAGCGTGCAGAGTGTGTAGAAATGTGGCACTGAGGCATCGGGTGTTGACAACAGACAGCCATGGTCCCAATTTATAAAACCTGCAGCACATCATTAAACATGTTAACTTGAATTTACAATGAACACGTTTTAAAAAAAGAGAGGGAGAAAAGGTAGATTTTAAAATTGTGTTGAAATGAGGAGACAGATGTAGTATGAAGCTCAAGCTTAGCAGCATAGAATGTAAAATAAGGAATAAAAAACAGAACCTTAGTTGTAAGATTTTACATATTAGGACATATTAAAAATGATTTGGCCATTACCAGGTTCTAAAACTGTTCCAATAAATCATTAAGAACATGTAAGATCAAGAGTCTACCTGAACCACGAGTCAACTAGAAGAGAGAAAAAAAATCCTGGATAAATTCAGAGTGGCGTGGGATGAACGGGTTATTTCAGTGTTGAGACAAAGCAGGAGACCCAGCATCCAAATATAACACCTGTAAAATGAGGGCGCACCAAGTGATTCTATAAGGAATTCCTACAGGCTGGGAGGAAAAACTGGACTTCTGCACATTTACTCTTTCCATAAACGAAAAACCCACATCAGATCTGTGCTCTATCTTTGTGCAGAATCCAGCAGGCGGTTTGTTCTCACAGATATGCAGCCATTGCTGGAGTCAGAGCTAGAGTTAGAGCTCCACAATACGCAACATTTTGTTTGTAAAAATCGAGTTTCTAAAGTCAAAAACTTACAGATATGCAGTATTTGGTAGTCTGATTGTCATTAAATAATGAAAGAATACCTATTATGCCCTCTTTTTACGTTTACACAATTTCATAAACTCTTAAAACTGTGACATATCTTGGTTTAAAAAAATAATAATAATAAACTGAAAAGTAAAGATTAGCTCCATTTCTTTTTCACAATAAAAGCACATAGTTTCCACTCTATCCATTAAATGGGTGGAGTGAAACATTTGAGTCCACTCCACCCTTTTCTTCTGTGGGTCTGAGCAGCTTTGATCTACGCAAGCATTAATTAAGATACAACTTACTCTAAATAACACATGATTACCGGAACTAAATGAGAGCCTAGACTAGTATGCATACACAAAAATAATAATAATACAGCAGATCAACTCTTTTCGTTAAATGAAAAAGTGCATTTAATTAAATCAAGTTGAATAACAAAAAGCACGCAGGATCATATTAAGAAATAGCAACAAGACAGTCAGTTAATTATAATTATGTCACAAACACTGAGGATCAGCATCTGTTCATGTCATTTTATTTTTAGAAGTCAAGGCAAAAAGCAGTTTCATATAGAACGACTATTAAAACTCAGTGCTGCATTTAAAGACATGAAGAAATTTCCAACTTTCGAATAAATTTGAAGCTATAATCAGATTTCTATAGCTATAAAAACAGACTTGGAACTAAAAGTATCAGCTCATTTATTGTTGAAGCAAATACGTGCCAAAAATAATTTCTTGACACCAACGCAAAAACTGCGAAAGACTGATGTCCTTTTTCAAAAAGGTACAATGAATACTTCGTAATTTTACGCAATCCTAAATGACTTCCAGAAAAATATTCAGATCTCATTAACTTTTGGGAAAAATAAATTGAATTCTGAGAACGATTTCTGAGAAGTTATTCATAATTGGCCAAAACAAAAACAACAAAGAAATCTATTAACGTCCCTCATGTAACTGACATATAATTTAACATGTGAATACTCTTTCAAATTCCTACATCCATACAGACAGATTCCAGTTGATTCTGGCAAGCTTCATGTAAAAACGCAGAAAGTTGTCAGCAGCTGAGGTGTCTATGTGATGTGATCAAAACCAACTTGGCTCCTCTGGAAGATGCTTTCAGGATCATGGTGGGATTTGTTTTTCCACACTAATAAATCCAACCTGTCCGGTGCTGGCCGGATCCACAGACACATTGTGAAAGATGCTGCACAGTATTTTTTTTTTATGCAGGGCTCAACAACATAAACAAGCCAGAGCTCATTTCCTCACGTAAGTGAATGAGGAACAAACTGTGTAGAAGGATAAAACAAAGGGAGGAACATAAACACGTGCGAGAGCTGCCTTACTATTACAATTTCTTTCAGATGTGGGGAAAAAGGCGGGGGCTCGGCGTTAGGTGAGGGATAAAACCAGCTTTGGACGTAATATTTTTCCTTCTCGGGCACTAACCTTGATGTACGGGTGGTCTTTGCAGGTGGTGCCCCACTGCCGAGCGCAGCGTTCTTCTTTTCTGTGCTCATAAAACTCTGGGTTACGGAGGATGGCCACTCGTCTGCCCTCGTAGACCAGCGCCAGCACCGTCACACCGTCCAATTGCTCTTTATCTGCAGTTGACACCGGCAGCACTACAGGCACCGACAGATTGATCACTCCACCTGCGGGAACCAAACGAGGCGTTATGGAGGTTTATCACTACCGTGTAGATTTAATTGTCATTAAAACGTTTCCTTCTGCATGTAAATATATGTGGCAATGTGATAAAAGCTGAAATTAAAAAGGAATGAAAAACCAGGGTTCAGATTTTTTTTCCCAGTTATGACAATATATTTACAGTAATGAAATTTAAATAAAACTGTTGAATTTCAAACATAAATATGGGCCTTTCTTCTTTAAAAAAATTATTTACAGGGGATTCATAAAGCATTTGCTTACTAATTTATTC